GTTGAGATGTCCAGTAGAACTCCCTCAAATGCTTTTTTTCTGCAACTTGGCCTTGCAGGTATGAGTAGACCCACTGGACTGGCCTAACACATTTCCATCATTGATAGTATAAAATTTTGCAGAGATCACTGGCAAATACTGAGGTTGCCATGTCTCTCTCTCTCTCTCTCTCCAGAGAAAAGGTCATCTATCAGCATAACCAAGTCTGTCTTCGTACCATTTGCTGTGTGAAATCAGTCTTATTGATGATCCCAAAATGGGACCCAAATTGGCTTATGGCCGTGGCTCCCAAACTCTGGTCCTCTATATATTTTCGACTTCCAACTTCCAGAATTCCTGAGTCTAAGTCAAGCTGGCTGGGGCATCTGGAATCTGAACCCCAAAACCACTTTGGAGGATCAAAGTTTGGGAACCACTGGTTTTGGCTTACACTATAAGTTAAACAGAACAATAGGCAGTACAAAAGTTTAAAAAGCATTAAACAATCTGTTCAATTAAAATGTAACTTTTAAAACATTGATTCAAAAGAAATAAAGTGCATATTACATAGTTAAAAAAGGGTGTCCATTGCATATCCTTCTACTCCAATCAGTTAAGTCCTGTTTTAACAGGAACATCTTTGCTTGCCAGTGAAAAGATAACAGAGCCTGTATCTGCACTGCAGAAATAATTCAGTTTGACACCACTTTTAACTGTCATGGCTCAATGCTATGGACTTCTGGGATTTGCAGTTTTGTTGTGGCACCAGAGATTTTAATTAAAGCTTTGCTCTGGGGCCACAACAAACTACAGATCCTAGAATTCTGTAGCATTGAGCCACGGCAGTTAAAAGTGGTGTCAAATCGGATTATTTCTGCAGTGTGGATGCAGCCCGAGAGGGAGTTGGCACAGTGTAGGAGGACCCATTACAAAGGCTCTGTTCCTTGTCCTCACCCAACAATTTTGGGAGATGGTGGGATGGAGGAGGAAAACCTCCCCGGAAAATTGTAAGACTTGAGCTGGCTCATGTGGGGACATTTCTTAAGAAATGATTTCACAACTTCCCTTCTTCTAGGTAGCCTACTCCCTGTCTCCCAACTTAGCTTTAATATACTCCCTGAACTAGCAGCCTTGATGTAAGTACAGGTTAAGCCTCCCTTATCTGAAATGCTTGGAGTTAGAAGGGGTTTGGATGTCAAAAAATTTTTTTGGAAATTTGGGAAAAATGTGTGAGATCATTCAGAAAAACATCCCTTTTAAGCCGGAATTGTTTCTATTAAACATTATTGACGTAATAGAATGCAAATTAAGTCAGGATGAAAAAAGTATTATACTTTATATGGTTACAACAGCGCGAATTATCTGAGCTAAATATTGGAAATCCAAAATAACACCAACGGTAATTGAATGGCAAATTAAATTATTTGAATTTATTAAAATGGACAAACTATCAATGTACACAGCAGGAAAAACATTTCAACAACATGAAAAAAATGGGAAAAAGTAATGAATAAAATATAGTTGAGAATTTTTTTCTTTTTTTTATTATATTGATGTACAATGAATTTGCAGTATGTATATTATTGTTACTTCTTCCATAATAATATATGATTTATTGTACTATGAAAAGCAAATACAAATAAACTTCAAAAAAAATTTGGATTTTGGAATGCCTGTATTTGCATATAGGCACATAATGAAATATCTAATCACAAAATTCATTTATGTTTCATGCACACTATAAATACATATCCTGAAGGCAAATTTATACAATATTTTTAAATATTTATACAATATTTTTGTGCATGAGACAAAGTTTGGGTACACTGAACCATCAGAAAGCAAAGGTGTCACTATCCCAGCCATTCATGATTGGATTTGGGAGCATTTTGGATTTTCGGATAAGGGATAATCAACCTGTAATTCCATTATGTGAATCTACATTTGGAAAATATCCCAATGTTCATCTAATCTAACCTGCTGCTAGTGCAGGAATCTGCAGCCATGGATTATTTTTGTGTTGCATTTTGACACCCCACCTCAATTCAGATAGGATATTGTAGAGCTTGGAAAGTCGGCAAAAAGGTGATCAAAAATATCCAGGCTTTAAATATTTTCTTTATAGGCAAAATCTGAAGTGTTTGCGGCTTCTGCAATAACATGGTGCATCTGAGTGTAACTGTTGTTGGAGATTAGTCTCTTGCTTTGGAGAATTTTAGGACAAATGCATTTTGTACAAAATGATTTTTTGAATTTTCTACTCTGCACAGATGAGAGGAACGGATTTTCTGTAAGGATAACCAAATCTGAGATTCAGGGTTCTCTGAATTTGAATCATAGTTGTCAAGCATTTTGTTTTTTGTTATGTTTAAAACAGATTCAGTTTCAATCTGTATTAAAACTGGATTTTCATATAGAAATTTGTGCATCATGTACAGTCGTTCTTCTTAGCCACCAATGAATACCGGGTGCGGGAGGTAATAATTCAGGGGAGGAAATGGGCAAAACCATCTCTTTTGAGTAT